TTCCCAAACCGATTTGTTTGTTCTTTTGACAGTCCGTGGTACCTTTCTTTTTTTCGGGGGGAGGGGGGGGTGGACTTTTCAATATTCTTCTGCAGCACCATGATTCAAATGCATGGATTCTTTAGTCTTCCTTACTCAATGTCCAACTTTCACGCATGGAGCTCTGCCTCAGAGGCTCTGCAATCGGACAGTTCCTGGAGCCCAACCTGGGGTTCAAGAGCTGACACTTTAGAGCACACACAGCGGTTACAGAGGGGGTGCCCCAGAGTCCAGTTTTGGGGGGGCCCAGTGTCAGCTCTGGACTTTTGCTCATGGGTGACCTCAGGTTGAGGAGCCAGCCCCTCCCCCTGCAGGAAGGACAGAGCACAGAGTCAGCCTGATGGGGTGGTAGTAGCAGAGTAGTAAAGGTGGGGTGTGGCCCCTGTGGACTGTGAGGTGCAGGCCCAGCGGGAAGGGGCATGTCGTGGAAACATACTTGGGGGAGATAACTGGGGTGGCTGCTGCACCCCACTGCAGCTCACTGGGCCCACCCCAAATACAGCCCCAGGCCATGCAGCATGACCTCAAACTCAAAACCAAGCCCCCCCTGCCCCTGAAGTCGATTCCAAATCATAGCCACACTAGAAGACAGAGTAGAACTGCCTCTGTGAGTTTCCCAGACAGTAACTCCTTTCGGGAGTAGAAAACCTCCTCTTTCTCCCAAGGAGCGGCTGGTGGGTTTGAACTGCCGGCATTGCAGTTAGCACCCCAATGTGTAACCCGCCAGGGTGCCAGGGCTCCTAGTCTTGGGGAAAGTGGGAGAGAGGTTTGCCAATCCCTTTCCTCATCTATAGAGCTCACTCGAATCCTTTTTGAGGGTCTAATACCTGCCGAATAGATGTGATTTTTTTTTTTAATCAGGCCTCTGAGACCTCTAGGCAGCCCATTGATCATTGTCAATTATTCTGTTGGGAAGGAGGATGCTTAGTTTGGACCACCGAGACCATTCCGACTCATAGCAACCCTATAGGACAGAACTGACCTGCCCCTGTGGGTTTCCAAGGCTATAAGTCTTTTTTTTTTTCCCCCAAGGCTATAAGTCTTTAGCAGCCTGATACATAACCTGCAGCATAAGCCACCAGCGGTCCTAGGTCCACTCTCCGGGGGTGGGGAGGGGTATGGACTACTGGGATGGTTCCAGAAGATCTCTCGTTTGAAGGGTCCAGTCGGCAAGGAACTGGAGGAGGGGAGGGAACCCACCACATGACTATGGTGCGGGGTGGGGAGGGGAAGACTGACCCAGGCCCACGGAACAGCCAGTGCCAAGGCCCTGGGGCAGGTCGACTCTTGAAGAAGCCCAAGGGAGGAGGGGGAACCTTTTTCTCCTCTTGTTTCTGCTCTCGTTCATTTCCCCTCTCCTCATCTCTCTCTCTCTTTCTCTCTCTGTGTCCCCTGTCCCCTTCCATCTCCCCGCCTTCCCACACCCCCAACCTGGACGCTCGCCCTCTTTTATGTTTGGTTGTTGTGTTCTATCATTGTTGGCCTTCCTCCCTCGCTGTCTGCCCCTCTTCTACTCTGCTGTGACTGGCCCTAACCCAGCAGGCCGTTTAGAGTAGTGGTTAAAAGCCCAGACTTTGGTGCCCTCTAACATGGCCCTGCCACCCTGCAGTGTGTCCTTAGGCAAGTTCCTGAATGGGCAGCCAGGCTGTCCGAGAGAGGGGGGGGGCGGGGCGGGGCTTCCATGGCGATTGGACACGTGAACGCGCTTGGAGCAAAGCCTGGCACACAGAAGCGAGCTTCGGAAAGTGGTGGCGGTTATTATTATTATCACTTAATGTCTCTTTTTCTTTCATCTCTCTTGGCTGTCCCCTCTCCCTGGTCTCTCTTCTCTCTCTCCGTTCTGTTCTGACTCCCATCTGGCTCCCACCCCTCGCTCCTTCCGCTCCTCTCCCCTCTAACCCCGACCCCCATGTCGCTCTTCCTCTCCCCGCCCCCACCATATCTTTGACCTCTGTCCTTTCCTCACCCCACAACCTCCCCTCCGCCATCCCGCCCCTGCCCACTGGTCGCGTTCCAGACTCTCCGACGACTCGCAGTCCTCGCTTCTCTCCAAACCGGTCAGCAGCCTGTTTCAAAACTGGCACAAGCCACCCCTGCCGCCACTCCCCACCGCGACAGGGGTCCCCCCTTCTGCTGCCGCCGCGGCCCCGGGGGCCACTTCGCCCGCGGCGTCCTCCTCCACG